CTCATATGGTGTCTCATTCGGTCTCAATCCTTCCTCTTTTGTGTATATTGGATACGTGAGTTTTGATGGAATGATATGCTTGTCGTTTTTGTCTAATCATCATCGTTGCTTGTCACTTCGATCTACTGTCGTCACGAGTTGGATGTTATTGCGGTGTCTGAGGTACGCGATATCATTTTAGATGGTAAGAAATGATTGTTTACTGGATCACTGAATGATTAGGTAATTGGGTGGTTGTCTGCACCACGTGGCAAATTTGCATTGAACTCTCACTTTTACACGAAAAACATCCACAGGCCCGTGTACGATCGAACACCTCGTGTGCACTCGTGTAAGCGCGATTTGACCAGCGCGGCCTACACGTGCCCACACGTGGGCAATTCGCGAAGTGCGACCCAATGTATGCAGAAGGTTCTCACTACGCCGCAACTAGTGATTCGCCCGAATGCCAAGATGTCAGGGTCCAGGGACTTCCACCGCGCCATAACCAACGACCCGAGGGCTCCCGACTACCCAACTACGTATAGCACACAATATTTCATATCCCCCGGCTTCATCGTTATTGCCACCAATTTCCCTCCCTTCCACATCCTCCTCCCATACCACCAACTCACGGTGGTACCGTGGAACTCCATAGCCCCGTATTGGCCCAACACGCCTTGCAGAAATTGTAGACGACGCGGCAACCGCCGAGCCTTTGGAACTACAGAGTCTAACTATAATGCACGACGTCACTCGACACGTGTCCACACTTGGAGGTCCGACCCCTAGAACCTGCACCCCCCCCCCCCCCCCCCCCCCCCCCCCCCCCCCCCCCCCCCCCCCTTTCCCCCCCCCGCGAACGGACCACTTCTGAACCACCGACACTGAAACAGACGGGTCGGACAGCCCCAGGATGCGCCGCGGATGCCATCTGCCTTACGCTGCACGACATCGACCGCCATTAGACCGAAGGTAACCCGCCCCTCAGCCTCGTTACACCTATGCCCCTAGAACCTTGCCACCGGAGATCTCAGTTATGACCTGGGACTCCACCCTCACTTTCCCAAAAATCCTTGGCACACCCCTTTTCGCACTTCCAGGCCCACATCCCGCTCCGATCAGGAAGTCGCGCCGAGCGTGAGGTTGGTATCGGAGTCGACACATGGCAGGGTTATAAGATTCATAGGGCGGTAGCTAAGAGATCTGGCTAACAGGGGACGACCTCGACCTCGGAACGTGCATCGACGCGACCGCGTCGTTACAAGAAGCCGATCTGCGGCTCGACGGGCGGCCAATGTGAACGCTAATCAACAAAACCCGAACCCACAACAGAACCCCAATCAGCAGCTAAATCCTAATCAACCCTCACCACGAGCACGGGCACCCATGGCCCCACCCGATGTCTATCTGTTCGATCCCGCTCATCACCTTGTTGGAGCATAGCTGGCCACGCTCCGAGCTCAGCAGTACGATCACAACGAGGCACAGGTAAACATTCCCGCTTGATTAGGGGGAGACGCTCATCATTGGTTCAACACCTATGTATGGGTTGATCTCCTGACATTCGAGCGAGACTTTCTGAACCGATTCAATTATATCCATCCGGAACAGGCCCTTTTTATGATTAAAGATCGAGTCCAAAAACCCCTCGAGTCTGTCACCAAGTATTGAAACCGATTCTACCGAATGTTGTAAAAACCGAACGAGGCGAACAAGTAGGGAGGGATTTGTTTATTGACGGACTTCGCAGCAGAGTGATGAAGGCGAAGCTGTGAAAACAGTTCACCCCCATCAATCATACGCTGCAACAGATTATGGCGGCCTCAGAAAAGATGGAATGAAAATTCGCTGCAAGTTTCCTAGAAGGAGAAGATTATCCTAGGGAAGGAGACTCGTCCGAACTGGCGAGAACTAAAGCTGAGTTGGCCGCGCTACAGAATAAGTTCGAGAACATGGGATTCCTTTCTGGCCCCGTCAATCACTTGGAACAGATTAGCCCAAACGACCAACCTCGAGTGTGATTACGGGCATGTCGGTTCCCGTGATGACAACACCCCCACCTCCGATCGAAAGTCCCGCACGACCGAATGAATCAACCGCCTTATTGGAACTGACCAAAATACTGGTCAATCTGATACAGGAAAGCGAAAAGAAACAACGGGAACACAATGCTCGAATAGAGGCGATGATGAGGTCGATGCGATCGATAGCAGTACATGCCGCCCTGATTCAATACGGGTTGGCTCCAGCACCCGCTCTCGGAGGGGCCGCTGGTAATTTGAACATCTGTTACACGTGTCACCAACCTGGGCATATAGCCCGAGACTGCCCCCATCGACCTCCTCAACCACGGATCGGAGCCGCACCGGTAGCAGCAGCTCCGATCGTTAACGGAGCAGGACGAGTAGAAGCATTGATGGAAGAAATGGAAGGAGGAGGAAGCGCGTTAACTACGACAGAAGAAGCCGCTGAGATCATTCCGTTGGACCAGTATGTCACGCTTGGTTACCCGGGATTGGGCATGGAACGATCAGACCCGCCGCGGAACAGAGGGAAGTGGCAGAGTGGCGACCTTCTCCAGGAGAAATGGAGTCGGGAGGACCCACCTTCGTCACCGGGGAAATCGATGTCTTGAACATTGTACGGGCGTTAGATCATCGGATTCCTCTTCGGCCATCCACTCTCAATATCAGAACAAGCCAATGAGCGCATGTTGCAACATTGCAAGGCGAACCGGAAGCGGTTCGCCCTCGCTTGAACAGCAAACACAAAAACGAAAAACCCGCTGCCATACGAACACGTTGCTGGTACTTCGGATCCCATACGTTTGGGACTAATCCAGAAAAATGGAAGAAAGAAAGATCTGATCATGCGTACGGAGAAGGATCAGCGTGTCTCAGCAGATGAGGAGAAGATTAAAACAGTGGGACAAATGACCAATGTTGTTTTTCGATTGGGTAAGGTGCACGCTCTGGGAGATGTCGTAGTGTTAGACGTCAGCACTTATGATGTTCTTTTGGGTTTATCTGCTCTTATGGCTCTGCGAGACAACATGAACTTCGAAAGACGATCGTATCCTCTGAAATACGGGAGGAAAACCCTAAGGGCCTACACCATACCCATGAGACTGACCCTTCGTACTACTGTTAATGTAGCCTCACAAGTTTCCCATGTAATGGTGGGGACTTTCCGAGCGATCACCTGGGAAAACTGCACGCACGATGAGCAATCATCGAAAGATGCGGACAGCGGTGACGAGGATGATGCGGTAGTTTTGGAGCTCGCGCGACAAAGCATCTGTTACCCGGTGCAACGAACAAACGCAAAACCTTTGAACCTGACTGATCAAAACTTGCAAAGGACACAAGCAATGATCTTGGAAGAACCTCTCGTACAGATATCAGGGATGGCCGATTCTTTGGAACCCCCTCAAACCCTGTACGAAGGTATCTCCCCTCTCCTTGCGCGATACAGTGACAAGAGACACTTCTGCGACATCATGAGCCTCCCGCGATCTCTCTTGCCACCTTGCTACGCGTGGGGGCAGAGGCCAATTCATTGGTACCCCCTAGGCGCCCCGGAACTGGACTCATAATTAAAATCGCGACCAAATCGGTGTCATGGCAAGACATCCGCGATGGAGTAACCCCGGAAGAACACGTGGCAATTCGAGAAGAAGATGCGCAAATGATGGCTACGATATTTTCTTGGCAGTTAGATAATTCTTTCATTTCCGCACCCCCGCCTGAAAACGCCAAACAGATAAGTACCAAACAGATCGACGTGCAGATATGGAACCAGCCGTACGAGTTGCACGTGCCCCACTACGTACCTGACGAGATTAATCACCTAATCACGGACATTCTAAAGGAATAGTATCAGGAAGCGATTAGTGTGAATGACACAGACATTGGACTATCACTAGTCATACAACACGGGATTCAAACCGGAAACCACCCCCCGATCCACTGCAAATCCTACAGATATTCCCTAATAGAGCGGAAACGGCGCTTCGGTGGATTCGGGAGTTCGAAGTTAATGGTTAGATCGAACCCGCCACTGGACCATGGTCATTCCCGGTAGTATTAGTACCAAAGAAGAATGGGTCGATTCGCATTTGGATCGATTACCGGAAACTGAATGATATCACGATCAAAGATGTGTATCCCTTTCCCCGGATTCAATTGATGATTTGCTGGATGCGATTGGATGTGCTAGAAATTATTTTAGTAAATTTGATATTCGTCACGGCTTCCATCATATTCTGGTTAAGGAGGAAGATCGACCGAAAACGACCTTCGTACTGTTTAAGGGCACGTGGCTGTGGGTTCGGTGCCCTATGGGGATTTGCAACGCGCCTGCCACGTTTCAGCGGGCTATGAATGTGACGTTTCATAACTTCGTCAACAAGATACGGCTGACTCAGAGAATGATCAACTTTTGCGTCATCGTGTACATGGACGACATCTTAGTGTATCGGGAACCTACCACGGGGCACGCACAACACATCGAGTGGACACTGGGAACTCTGAGAGACGTTGGGTTCAAGATCGCGCTCGAGAAGAGCAAGTTTTTCCTATCGGAGATCTCGTTCTCGGGCTAAGTGGTGAAGCGGGGAGGACTGCGGCCAGATTCGATAAAAGTCGCGGTGGTGAAGGATGCCCCCATTCCCACATCGTTGATGAAGGTTCGAGCCTTTTTAGGACTGATGTCATACTATCGTCGTTTCATCAAGGGTTTTGCCGCGATAGCAAGGCCCCTAATGAACTTGATGCAGAAGGACCAGCCTCTCAGTTGGGACGCCGAGTGCGAGCAGGATTTCGCCACCCTCAAGGATGCCCTGGCCACATCACCTATTTTGATCCGGTCGGACCCTACGAAGCAGTTCATTCTCATTACGGACTGACAACCGGAGGCAATTTCTGCCATTCTTGCGCAAAAGGGGAACGACGGCCGAGAACACATCATCGAATACGCATCGCGCACGGTGTCAAACGAACGGAGGAACGATTGGGCCCCGCAAGGCGAATGTTACGCCGTTGTCTGGGGAATCCAGCACTTCCATCTGTATCTTTATGGACAGAAGTTTCCTCTAGTGACTGATCATGAGCCACTGCTGGCTCTGAAGAGGCTCACTAATTATATGGGCATGATTGGGCGTTGGGCGGTACACCTACAGGAGTACGATTTCGACATCGTCCATCGGAAGACGGGGAGGCACGGGAACGTCGACGGGTTGACACGCCTGCACCGACCAGCTAAGGTACCTAAGGGCGAAGAAATCATTCCGTGGAAAGAGCCGGATCGACGAATGGACCCAAGTACAAACAAGTGGCAGTCTTTCCACGGGGAAGGATATGTCGAATGGGTAGATTGTCGGCAGTGAGTCGCACGAGCCCATGGCTCTTGCGTTCAGTACAGGAATGGCGATAAGCCTTGGTTGTGCCCCTTGTATCGGATCGATAAGATCCCGACCGAGGATCGATTTCTCGATGCCACGTCAGAAGGGTTGGAAAAAACCCAAAATTTTAGAAGGGCCGAGGTATGGACGGATATTGCTTTAATCGCCACCTTGGTAGGTAACCCCCTCCACGACTTCAGTAAGGAGGACCGGAGGAAGGCCAATGAAAGGGCTTGCGACGATGTGAAATTCATCGTCCAGAACTATCAGGTTCGCGCTGCTGACGAGGCGACGATTCAGCCGCCACGATCAATAGTCCCGACGGTAGTTGAACGACCGTTTCAACGGGTTAGCATGGATACTACTGATATCGTGGTGCTCCCTGGGCCTAATAGTTGTGAGTATTCAATCCTACTGGTATTTGTAGACCATTTCTCAAAATGGATCGAGGCATATCCGTGTCGTACGCGACAGGCGGCTGAAATCGCGCGATACACCAGGTCACAGAGGAAATCCTGACCGATAATGGGGTAGAATTCAGGGGGGAAGTTTTGAGGAATCTGGTCATACACGGCGTCACCATACGGAACACTGCACCCCACATGTCACAGTGTAACGGACTGGTAGAAAATGCAAATAGGGTGATTAAGACTGCACTGCGACGAAACATCGTGGCACGGGATCCGCGACCCTGGCCCGATATCGTGGATCACATCCTAGCGGTCCATCGGGGGACGCCTCATGAATCGACAGGCCTGAGCCCCTTTCAATTAAGAACCAATAGTGTGACTTGCGTTTCAATATCGAGCCTTCCAGACGAATCGTCGTTGAATCGACGGCCCACGAGGGCCACAATTCGAGACAAGGCCAAGTGGCACCTAGAACTGATGGAGTGGTCCCTTCCCCGATTAGCCCGAAAGCGCCTGAAGATGACTGAGTTGGCCCACGGCCGACAGGTCCGCAGTTACAAGGCCCGGAATGGGAACGTGGGACCACGGCCCCAGTATAAGTTAGGGGACATCGTGCGGGTAAGGAAATGTGCTCGCCAGGGTAAGCTAATGCCACGATTCTTCGGGCGATTTTGCGTAGTCGAGCTCGGTCCAAACGGAGTGAACACGGTGCGGCTCGTGCCTGAGGTCTCCTCCTTCTTTGTCTTGCTCCCCTGCTGATACTCAGTCCCCGCCGCCATCGCCATGAGTTTTTCCACCAAGCAGGTTCTTGGCGAGCACATGCTGGCACCACGTGATGACATTTCGGCAATCGGACAAGTCCATCATCCACGGATCAGACCGGATTTTCTTCGATTTGCACAGTTCTTCAACACCACTGGAGTGTATGCGGCAGCAAAGCTCCATTTTGCGGCGCATAGCCGAACACTCGTATTGGACGAGGCATCGACTTATCGACGGCTTTCGGCGCCAGGGGTCAGTCACGTGTCTACCGTCGTCGTCTTCATCGGGGACATCAGTGCGCTGGACCCTACAAGGCATACGACAATTCGGACATCGCTAAGGGAGTGGGGTGAGTAGTTAGCACATGAGTGGAGTCGGTGGCTTGCGCGGCACGGCGACAACCTCGTCGTCACCAACAGCGTGGAAGTCGGTGGGCTCCACACATCCCGTCGCGAGCCGGCGGTGGCGCTCCCAGAGCTCGTCCCCCTTCAGCGCCCTCAATGAACCGGTCCCAGTTCTCAACCTTTGCCCTCCCCTCTCTCTTCCCCACTTTCTTGCAGTCTGCTCTCCATCCCCGTCTTTCTTTCTGTATCCAGCCACTTGTCGTTCCCCTCATCGAGCCAAGACACCGGGAAATCTGGTGTGAGCACTACCTCACTCTTTCGCTGTGCCTGATCGAAGTGGAGCTCACGTAGACACGGGACAATGAGCATCGTGCCGCGAGGGAGAGCGTGGAGCTGCTGATCATCCAGGCCTGGAGAACAGAGGTGGAAGGAGATCTCCTCGGATTTGTCTTCGGAGCGGTAGAGCCAGGCCATCGGCAGACGATCGTGTGGGAACTTGCGATCCCCTTTGTGTAGCTGGTCGACGACCTCCCCCTCGACATCATATCGCAGTGTGACGAGAGCCCGGTGCCGCACGTTCTTTCGCGAAGGTTAACGCCGTATTTGCAGTGGTCAGCTTGCTTAGAGGATCGAACGGGAGGTGGCAGCTACCCATCGTGCGCGGGGTATCTTAACCCCCGGGGGATCATCGACGTCCTTTTCTTTCAGCCTCGAATAGTGGAGGAAGAGACAACAGTGGCAGAGGAAGCGGACGTAGAGGATGGAAGCGAAGAAGAAACCTCGGAGGAAGAAGGAAGCTACAGCGAGTACAGCAAGGAGGAATCGGGGGCAAAGAGTGAAGAAGAAGAAGAAGAACAAGAAGAAGAAGAAGAAGAAGAAGAAGAAGAAGAAGAAGACGAAGAAGAAGAAGAAGAAGAAGAAGATCGGTTGCAGGAAGAGGAAGGATCTTTGTGGGAGACTCTAGGTCAGGAGGCGGATCACGCAGAAGCTCAAGAGGAGGATCCCAAGGCGGCAGCGCGAGGGAGAGAGGAGATCGCGGTCGGAAAACAGCCGATGGAGTATGCAAGGGGCACGGATTTGCCGATCCCGAACGCCCCGACCAAGGATCCCGAGCCACCCAAGAACGGCGATGGGGACCCTACTGCCGAGACTTCGAGCGCACCGCGTGGAGGCAACGGAGTCGATCCCCCTCCCCATCCCCCCATCCCCCAGTTCGAATACGTGTCTGATGCGGGGCATCGGGCTTCGTCCTCGGTCGTTATCCCGTCGTCCCCTTGATTACCTCACCCTCTGCCAGATTACCATCCCGGTCCCTTTTCCCCATAACCCCATGGTGGTACCCGCTTCCCTCGCTTCCATCGGATCGTCCGATATCAGGAGCTTCCGGTGACAGTCGAGGGAATGGAACGCACCTATCCCCACTCCCGACTGACCCACCCCCTTAACACGCCCCCATGTACCATCTTCCCTTTCCTCTCCCTGCTAGTTACTGATGCGCGGGTGCATGGCACATGTCGCAAGGATGGCACGAGTGATCCCTCCTCCAATGGACAAAGCCCTTCGTGGAAAACTCGTAGGATAGAGCCACCTATGCCACATTGGATAACGTCCACACTCTTTCACACAGTAAGTGGCAATTAAGAGAGAGCTCCGTGTGTCGATCGATTAGAGAGATCGACACGTGTCGTAATGTCAAGCAAGCAGGAGCTTGCTTAAGATTGGAACCCCCTGGGCATCACATATGTGACGAACCAATTTTTGTTCCGCGCGATTTTCTGCGCGATGACAATGAGGGATCCTAAGATGGGAAGGTTGGGCCAATTATGGGAGATCGGGATCGAAGGGGAAATTGCATCCGTGTCCTCGCCTCTTCATCTTTTTACGTCGCCTTTTTTCGGATGGTTGGGTTCAGGGCTGGGCAAGTTCCGGGATGGTCGGTTAAGTGGCTGGCGCGCCGACAGAGGTGCGATTAATAACGTTTGATGTCGCTTCTTTCTTATTCTGTTGTTGGGTTTTTGGCGTGGTGATCGAGCGAGAAGTTTCGCTTTTTTTTTAATTCCTTTTTCGAATTTTGTCGAGCCCTCGACGACTCTCGAAATTTTGGACTTTCTTTTCGGGATTTGTGCTTTAGTAAAGTTCTTTTTGAATTAGATAGGAATTTAGGAATTTAGGAATTTAGGAATTTAGGAATTTAGGAATTTAGGAATTCGGAATTTCTTTTGCCGCGCAATACTCTTTGCTCGTGCGTTTCTTTTTGCGGCTGCAACGGAGCTCTGATTAGTCGGCGCCCTTAATCTTGCGTGTAACTGTAATTTTGGGCGGGGCGCCCTCATAACTGTATCTTTCTTTTTTAGCTTCGTCTTTCCCACCTTCTCTCTTCTTTGTTGTGTCTAGTTGGCCCGCGGGCTCCATGATCGGATCGATGCGTGGAGAGTGGCTACGTCCCCCACACCGCGGTCTGGCCATGCAGAACGTAGGCACTCCCTTCCCTTCTCTCCTTCTAAGTCCTTGCAATTCCGTGTTCTTCGTGCATGCATACACGCTATAAATTTAGGCTGCGCAATTAGATAGCTCTCTTAAACAGTTGCTAGAAGCTCGGGGTAGCGCGATCGGTGAGGGTCGACTGACGAGCTAGGTAAGAGGTGGGTTGAAGTGGGAGTTGGGCGACCCGACGAGCTGGTGCCAAATGTACGGGGTTGGCGCGTGGGGCTACGACGGACTGTAGCGCGTGGGCGAACCCGACGGGTACAGGAGGACTAAGCGGGGTGACAACTTCGTGGGTTGGTGCATGATGACGGACTGTCCGCATCGAAAAGACGAAGAGAGAGAGAGAGAGAGAGAGAGAGAGAGAGAGAGAGAGAGAGAGA